TTTGGAAATGGAACTTTGATCTTTCATTACTACGTGATTTTACAAATGTTATCCCATAAAAAATGCAACTAAAATATAACATACTTTGAATTTAATGGCCTGATTATTTGCTTGTGTGCTTTTTCTCATCTGAAATCATTTCACTAAAGCACCTTCGCAAAGAAAAATCTATGTCTGAACTACCAGATTTCAGAGGCATGGAGAAGTAGGTGATTACTGAATAAATGAGACAAAGAAGCATGTCCTGAACAAAGGGGAAGAGCTCTGTCATACATTTCAGAGTGGGAAACTCTATTTCCTGTTTTGCTACGTGGGACTTGGTTCTTCTAGCGCACATGTTCCACTCCAGTTGCCCAGCTATTGTCTTCTTCATCTGAAAAACGACCCCTCTGTTACAGTACATTGGGTATTTGTGATTCCAAGTAGAGACTGGTTTCTGTCAGCAGCTTTTTTGCTCTTCAAAAACAAGAAAGAAAAAGGTAGTTAATATTAAAAGTCAGGGGCAAACTGTTTTTCTTCAAAGAGTACGTAGTTTACAAGGTTGGGGCGCACAAGAGGCTTGCTGCTGAGTGACTTCCAGAGAATACAAGAGTATAAGGCTACTGCTGAAATTTGGACTAAAAGGGTGCCTGACTGTCATTCTTCAATGCTTTTAAGTATAAGAGGCTGAAATTTTCTGTGCCCTTAAAAATTGTGAACTCCCAGGATTAACCTGAAACAAAGGCAGTAAAAGCAGAAGCTATTTGGGTCCCCCTCCCCATTTTTGTCAATAAGCTTCAGCCATGGCCTGTGATCCTCTTGGTAGCATAGTCTTGTGGTGTTTGCATAAACACTGTCAATACATAAGTTCTGTGCTGGTTTTCTGTCATGCAGATAAATACCTTCAGAGTTAGGTTGAGACCACCAAAATCCTTTCATCTGCATATTTGTTCAGGCTTGCGAAATCTTAAAACTGTAGCATATTGCTGTGCCACTATTTACCTCACCACAGTCTTCTTAAACATTTCTCCTACACAGAAATTAATGGCTCCAATACTGTTCCTCTGTCATGCATAAGCTGGGAAGTAACTCTCCCTAGGGAGACACTGTTCCAAAGAAAATTAAAGTAAATTCATGTTATTAGAAATCTTGAGAGGGCAAGGACTCTGGCCTTTGTTTAGTGCTGTGAGTGACTGTAAAGGGATGTGTGTTCATGTTGGTTTAGTCCTACTGCAGTAAAAATATCAACAGCAAGTATCTAATTTTTGGTCTTCCTCTTGACTATGATCCAGTTAATTTTCCAGACATAACCACTCATCTGTTTGACAATAGCCTAGAGAAATTACGTCCTACAGTTTTTTCAGGTCTTACAATCAGATCTGTCTTTTGGTATTTCGTACAGGTGGCTTGGGCTGATTGGCCTGATCTCCATCACTGCTATCTCAGTTTGCTCAGGAAAAAAGTGTTTATGCCACTTGAAAGTGCAAAACTTCATAGCAGTTCTCAGAGCAAGTCCGATAACAATTGAGGACTTTCTGGGATTAGTTACCGAATTAGTACTAATCAGTAGACGCAGTAATTTCCAAAAGAGTTTTTGTAAGTGTCCTTATAAAAGCATTAGGCATTCATACGATAAAATAAGGATGAACTGAGATTGAATTTGTCAGATTACATTTTGTAAGAAGCAATAGAGACTTCAAGATGCATTACCTAGTTTTCTGCCTGCAAAAGATGCCTAAGTATTTTTGTGAGAAGGTAGATATTCTGCTAGATTGTAGTAAGATCCACTAGGCACTAGGACACATAACATCAAATAGAGACGGAGATTTGTAGGTGATAAGCTTCTTTTATTTTAGTACAGTTAGGTTGAAAAAGTGTCTGCATTAAAACGCAGGTTCTCCTTAAGCGTCTGTTCAACAGAGTTCCAGTCGACACATCGGGCGGTGTGTGACTCCCAGCCAAACACCTTGTTAAATACTTGCAGGATTTCCCATAGCGGATCTTACTTTAATCAAATAAGTCAAACGTTTCTTTTGTAAGTACAATAGAAGGGCAGGGCTTGTGTTTACAAAGTATTCAATATGGAAATCCTGTATTAATTGAGGTATGTTTACTTCACTTAGGGCAGTGTCCGCATAGTAACTCTTTAAATAAAAGGTCTTTTGCTGTTGCCGGTTCCAGAAAGGCAATCACATGCAATGGAAACCCGTCACATGTAGAAAATCATAAGGAAATGGTTTCAGACATGCATTATAGGCAGCAGAGATATTCCTGGCTGAAGATGATGACTTTATAGGTGATTTTCTCACAGTGGATATAAGAGTATAGTTTATAAAAAGTAGTTGTATCCCTATGGAAACTACTAAATAAAGAGTCTGAGTCTTTCTCAGTCTATTACTAGAGTGATTAGCACAAGCAGTGCCAAATGTTGCCTTTTTCTAATGCTGTGGATTCATGTGCTTTAAATTATTATCTTTCTAAGGCAGCAGCTGTATTTTCTGTGAGTAAACATGGTGTACTTCTACCCAGCCCAGTGCAGGATCTGGAGCTTTCATGATTTACTGTAAAGCATTTAGAGTTTCACATAAAGAGTGTATAAAAAGGAAAGATAATACTATTACTCAGTGATAATATTATTACTCAGTAATAGGTAACCAGAATTGTGCTCCTCTGAGTTCCTTATTGTGCTGTGCCAGAAAATGCTGGAATTGACATAAACCACATACAGAAAAATTAAACAGAGAATCAATGTTTTCCTCCACAGTGAGTTGGAAATTACATGTTGTTTCTATGTTTAATACAGTGAAATCTTTTTTCCTTTTTTTTTTTTTTTGTTGAATTATAACTCTGGTATAGTTGAAAATATACTTTTGCCAGTGCATTAAATACCTGGCAAAAAGGATGGTTTTGAACATTTTTAGGTGAATGTAGGTCAACACAAAGGAATCATACAGTTGGAAATATTTTCCAGTGTTTATGTTCAGATGTTCAGACCTGTCTGGCTCCTCTCTATTTGCATGTGTTGAGGTTATAGGCAGTCCAGCTACATTCCACGTTGATTTATATAAATATATTGCAGATTATTAACCTCCAGCCAAATACCAGCAAATTTCACTTTTCAGGAAGCTTTGTGACTTTTCAGAAAGCTTATTTACTGTGTACAGGACACATGTACCCCATTGGGGGAATCTTAGAGAACAGTTTTTGTCTTTATGAGAAATGTGCCAAGACATTTTCTGTCACAGTCAGTTACATTACCATAATAATTAATTAATGTTTGTTCATATGATTATTACAGATTAAGTACAGGTTAGTCTTCTATAGAGGTAGGATGACAGTTGCTCCATGTTCTGGAACTGCAGTTTCCAAATTATTACTCACTGAAAAGCTTTCTTAAGCTAAAAAGAATGTGCATGCACCCATTTCAGAACATGGTGGCTAATAAATTTAAGTGTCTGACCAAAGATAATTTAGGAAATGCTGTTAAAGTGGGACCACATGCTAAACATGGTAAATGTCGAGTGAAAAATACTGCTCTTCTAAACCTGGATTAGAGTCTTCACAGGTGGTTATGTAATTCTAGTCTTCCCTTGCTCTGTGAAATATATTGAGATTTAAGGTAAGAAGTAAAAACTCAGTACAAAGTGTTGTCCCGGTCTGTTTGTCAGAGGTCCACTGTGAAAAGCAGGGACCCCCAAGGCCTTGTATGTGATTAGTTGTCTTCAGATCCTCCATATAAAGCCTTTAGTCCTCAGACAAACAACAAAAATACTACTTGGTAATGTAATCAGAGATCCTGCACTTCACACAAAGTAGGGAAGCAGTTATCCTAAGTAAGAGGATGAAAGATACATGTATAACATAACAATGTCATTGCTGTGGTATTGAAAAAAAATAAACCAGAGTATCAACACTAGTTTGGTCTGTTATCAGTAATAGATTCTTCAGTTTAACTGTATAGACCTTTCTCTCAGTAACTGTATTCATTCTTTTTAAATCTGTCATTAGTAAAAGTAGTGATGGATTTTCTGCCTTGCTTCAGAGAGCAATCAGATCTGTACAGTATGAGATTAAATGAATAAACACGTTAGTAAAGTATGTGAGGAGGGAAGAAACGTCCTTCCAGCTGTTAGATGGTTTCCTATGGGGAGTTTATAGAAGTGGGACTTGAGGAAGGCTGGTGGAAGTCGCTAGTGTATAGGTGTGAAGCATAGAAGGAGGGCAGATGTTTTTAAACAAGATAAAACAGTGATTAGAGCTGCTATGTAGATAAAGTGGAGAACATGAGAAAAATCATAATGAAAAAGAGAAAACAATAGAGAATAGAGGATTCAGATGGGAATGTGTCATTATGAAGAGCTTTGTAAATTCATTTGATGTTGGGCAACAAGGTGAAATGATGAAATTTCAGTAAAAGAATGACAGGAAGTGATGAGAGAAGTAGTGACATCTTGTGCACAAAGCTTTTTTCCAAACTGTATCCTGACTTTGAAGGTATTCCTTGCTTCCAGGAATTTACAGAAGTAATCAGCGAAAAAATTCTGTTTCTGCCAAAGGAGATTCAATTACAAAGCTATGTAATGGTGAACATGGGAGATACATGGGAAGAAGCTGAAGGTGCTCACAAACACTGTATTTTTTCTCAAAAATGTTTCTTTATTTTGGTTTTTTTAATGACTACGAGTGCTGCAGCATAGAATGTGGATAAATATCAAGTAACTTTCTGTATTAACTCTAGTTACTGTGTCAAAAATTTTTTTCATGTAATTATTATACATTGAACAGCTGATGAATTCTTGAGCCTATTTTGGAATTCACACATGAAAGACCAAGATGGTATTTTTGATATATCAGCAGTTATCTGATGAATCAAGAGCTCAAAGATTGGTCTGCTTTTGGAAAGCTCCTTTTACCATTCTGTATGCTGGAAAAAATTTAGATAACCATGCATGAGCTGCAAGGTATGTATGTCTGTAGTGGTTCCTGTATACTTACCTCCTCTTTCCTTTTGTTCTTCTCAGATTGTTTGATGTGTGCACCGTGTCACGAACAGACAGAGAGACCAAGTTAACATTAGTGTTTGAACATGTGGATCAAGACTTGACTACTTACTTGGATAAAGTTCCAGAGCCTGGAGTGCCTACTGAAACTATAAAGGTATTTAAGGAGAAAGGTTTTGGATATTTTCAGAGATTAATCAGAAAGCAAACTATGTTTTGATCCCATAGGATTTTGTTATATCTAAATTGAATAGTGCCCAACTTGGGGCATGAATTGCAGCACAAAGATCTGTATTCACTAACAGATATAATCTCTTTTTGAATAATGCTGCACTTGTCATTTTCTCTCTTTTAGAGTTACAGATTCCCTGATTTTCTACTGTTTTGCAAAATGTAGCATTCCAGCACAGGAAGGACATGGACATATTGGGTCGAGTCCAAAGGAGGGCCCCCAAGTTGGTTAGAGGGATAAGCATCTCTCCTACAAGGGAAAGATGAGAGAATTGAGATTGTTTGGCCTGGAAAAGAGAAGGCTTAGGGGTGACCTAATTGCACCTTTCCAGTACCTGAGGGGAACCTACAAGACAGATGGAGAGAGACTTTTTTACAGGAGTATGTAGTGACAGGACAAGGGGGAATGGTTTCAAATTGAAAGGGAGTAGGTTTAAACTAGATATTAGGAAGAAATTCTTTACTGTGAGGGTGGTGAGGCACTGGAACAGGTTGCCCAGAGAAGTTGTGACTGCCCCATCCCTGCAAGTGTTCAAGGCCTGGTTGGATGGGGTTCTGAACAACCTAATCTAATTGAATTGTTCCTGCCTGTGGCAGGGGTTTTGCAACTAGATGACCCTTAAGGTCTCTTCCAACCCAGGCCATTCTACGATTCTGTGATTCTGTTAAGTCATTAAGAATGACGTTTGGTTGCAGCTGTAGGCAGAGAATCTGTTGTTGTTTATGCTGAGACTACTTGAATCTTCCCTAAGAGGTGTCTGTTTGAGTGCTGGATATTGTTAGAATGGATAAAATAAGTCTTGTGCTCCTATCCCTTTCCCTTTGCCTTTTTTTTCCCAAAGCCACTACTTTTGTTTCATGCTCCTCTTACCACAACAGTTTCCATACGTTCCAAAAGCAGGAAATGTTCATCCTGGACCTGTGGTGAGCTCTGTAGAGGATGGGCTCAAGGGCGGGGGTAGTCATGAGTAGTTGTAGAAGCTGGGAAGGCTCTCAGTAGCTGGGAGGATGATCATGACGTTTTCCTCGCATATTCTCTCTTATTGTGCATCTGTAAGGGAGGAGTTCTTCCTGGGAGAGGATGTGCTTGTATTATTGGTAGTAAAACACCTATAGTAACTCCTCTTTTTTCCTGGGAATTTCACAGCAAAGTGGCACATTGAGGATCATAGCTTGAAATGTTTGACAGAGTTTATACGCTGGGAAGATAAGCTGAGAGATTGATGTTTCTACATTTTGACAGTGTCTGTTTAACATGTCTTTTGATTTTTCTATTTTCATGAGGAAAAATAATTTATACTTTCAGAGATGGATTATTTTACGCTTATATAAGTACTTTGTGGAAATATGTTGTGTCATTTTAGTCTAGTCATTTAGTCCTGAAGGAGGAAAAAAAAACATTAAACCTATTTGAAATTCAGTTGTTTTAATAATTTTTTTAACAGCTTCAAACTTAGGAGTTGTTTGTTCTTTCAGTTAGAAATTAGAAATAAACCAAATAAGGATCTGTTCACCTTTAGCAACTATGTTTTTTAATGAATCTTTGTGGATAAAATAGAATTTTTGAAAAATGGTTACAACTTTGATGCAGTCCTAGCAGAAGACTGGAATGTACCTATGAGATTTGTAGAACTATTTTACAATAATGCTATTAAAGTTCTACTTTCTCCTGGGACTTTGAAGCTACCTAAGTAAACTGTATTTCAACACAACTAACATTGTGAAAATTATGTGCAAGGTGACTGGCATATTATCTAACTAAATATATTGAAATTGAATCACCAATCCTCTGAAATCTCAGTTTGAAATATCTTTTAAGCTATGTTTCATTTAAAGGAAATAGAAGACATGAGCATTGTATTAAATATTTGTGATTTCCAAAAATCCTGTTCTAAAATTGCACTATTAGACTGCAGTATGTGTGTGTGAATAAACATTTCATGGAGATTATATACTGATGGAGGAAATTATTGTGCTTACTTTTGAAAAGCACTCTCATGCATATATGGTTTGCTGGTTCAACCCAGTTGCTATATCTGGTAATTTGGCACAATAAAAGAGAAAACTTAGCCACACAGAAACAAGGAGGAGCAATTTTGGTCTTTTATATACAGTGCAAGTTCCACTGCAGCCAGTGAAATTAGTGACTGTAAAATTCAGCTTGTGGTAGATACATCTCTTTGTAAATGGGTGAAGAAAAATGTAAAATTACTGTTTACTTGCTCGTCGCTGTTGATTTCAACATCTGCACAGTAGCTGATGTGTTTTTTCTTGAATCCTCTTTGGCACAGGAAAAAAGAGTTTAAGTTGCACCCTGTTGCTTCATGGTTTATGTCAAAACACACAATTTGTGGAGGTATTTTTGCTGATAGTCAGGATTGATCACATGAGGAAGGGTCTCAAGGCTTATTTTTAATACATTTTGGTACCTTTCTAATGATAGTCTTTATGGATATTCCCCATAGAAACTGAAGCAAACCATAGTTCTGGCTGCAGGGAAATATTGCCATTCTGTAACAGCTGAGCATTTAACCCAGAGCACATACATCGTTAAATGCCTAATCTGACTTTTTATAGTTTGGCTTTTGAGGTTAATATGGATTTGTACTTCATTTATTTTCCAGAATTGCGGACAATTTGTGTAGAGTATTTCCCCTCACCGCTAGCACAGTACAAAACAACTGCCAGTATTGTAAGACCATCTGTTAAAGTTCTGCATGTGTCGGCAACACCGAGGTGCCAAATGAGCCGAGTGAGCTCTGGATAGCTTGGTGTTGAAGGATCTAATATACCTCTTTGGCACCATGGTTTAAAATCACCAATTGTTAGTAGGACTTGAATGACATAAAATTACTATGAGAGAATTATCAGCCCCAGAAGATCTTTTCTGTGTGAATTAGCTACCATCATTATATAACATTTAGGGAAGGGAGGCTCGGCTTTTACCTGTTTAGGGCATGCTAGGAATAAAGGAATATAAGGACTGTTTTAAGAATTTCATTTACATTTTGCAGGTAGTAGTCAGACCATAACAATTCAGAGAAACTAACCATATTGATCTTCTAAACACAACTAGTGCTTTTATCTTAATGCTGCTCAGCATTGGCTTTCTAATACCTAGTGCCCTGCATTAAGAGTCACCCTGGAGGGTGTTTTAGGAAGATATAGACAGGTGGCCATAACATAATAGAAGTAGTTTTCCTATAAGATGTTGCCTGGTAGTGGGAATACTTACCCAGGATGTAGGGCAGACACTCTCACTTCCCCTCCCTGTTGCCAGGAACATGAATGCTCTAGTCCATTTCTCTGTTTCTGGCTCTGGCTACTGAGTTCTAGGTTATTTTGGACAGTGGTATTTTAAGTCTTTTCTGGTGTAGCACTTCCTTTATTTTTTAATGGAGTATACTTTGGGCTAGCAGGATGGACAACACTACTCCAGATACTTTGAAAGTTCAGTTTTTGAAAGAAAACTATATTCAGCCCTTGATTTGATTAATAAGCCTTTGTAACTGCTGGATTGTAGTCATGCTCACCCTTGCTGGCTTCCTCTGTCAGACCTGATTAATATGTGTTCCATATGGCATGAATCAGAATCAGCAATGACAACGTCTTCCTTCTTTCCTCTCTGCCCATCGTCTCCTCCCACTTTTCTTCCTGGGATACTCTTTAACTTTAGGATGGTTTATGTGGAAATGGAAGGTATGAGTTCAGTTTCCTTTGGACACAGCTGTTAGTCATGCTCAGGTCCTTTGTAACGTTAATGATCTTAGCAGTTGAGCCTCCGACAGACTTGGCTCATTAGAAACTTTTGTTAGTTGACATAAGGGTAGTGGAAATGGGAATGACACGTCTCTGCCACAGAAAGATTATTTTTTTAAAATAGTTAACAGACCACTAAAGCATTTTTATGTTTTAACCTTTGGGACTGAGGCATGTTTAAGCTGCGCGGTCACATTTTGTTCTGGTGCTTGTGATACTGGCACGGGTTCTTCGGAGTTCCTTCCAGTCATCTTGTTCTGCCAGTCCAGAGGGTCTGTAAGAATGAGAGGGGACAGCAGAGTGTTACTGAGGTTGTTTAATTTTAGTAATGAGCAAAGTTAAGTTTGCAAACTAGAGTCATTATAAGTAAACCTGTGGCTTCTTTCAACAGTTTTCTTAGAGTTGACCAGAATTTAGGCTACCCAAGCTACACGTGCTAACCGGGCTGTGCCTGTTTCAATCTAACAGTCAGCAGAGGAGGGAACAGAACAAAGGTCTCCAGTATAGCAGGTGCATATGTTATCTATCATGGGACGTTAGAAGAAGTGGGAGTGTGTTTCTACCCAGGTCTGTGATCTGTGAATCGTTATTGCATTCCCCCCAGCCTTGAATAGTGCAGCCAAATCACAGTGAGTGCTGGTTTAATGTATATGTTTTCTCTACTGTGTCCTGGTTCCTCACCCAAGTGAATAGCTTCTGTGGATGTTTATTCTGGTTTCTTCTTTGCATAGGAAGCCTAGATACCCATCTGATTCAGGTATACAGATTTTGGTATTTAGATGCCTGAAATTGAGAAAGTACAGTGATGACCTAATTTCCTTTTGTGGGCTTATCTGAAAGTAGCTCATAAATTGAATTTTAAAATATTAGCCCCATTCATAGAATAAATGTTGCTGTTGTATCCATGTGCGTTTCCTGTAATTTACATTACCTGTTATCAAATCAGGCAGACTGGTCACATCTTTGCAAGACTCTTAGAAAATTAATATGAAGATACTGCTTCTCAGAAAGCAAACCAGTGTTCAGTGTTGTGAGGTGACTCATCAGCCATCTGCCATGGTTGTACCTACTCAGTTGATCACGTATGAGATGTGGAGCAGATGTCACACAATCATGCAGTTCTGAAAATAAAACAAGATATTCCAGGAAAACATCTTCGCCAGTACT